TCTGTAGATAAAATCAGCTCATTCTAAGGTAACAAAAGTGCAACGATTCCTATTTACAGCAGATTATACACTAATGAAAACATACCTGTGAATATTATATTCCATTTCTGCCATTATATCCTCTTAAATGTTACACACTGGACCTTTAGAGAAAACAAGAACATGGCCAGGGAGCTGTTACGTAAGAAAGTCATTTAGCGACATTCTTTAATAAGTCGCTCATTAACAGCGGTTTAAAAGCAGTGCACCAAACTGCTGTTCGGTTGGCTGCTAGTCTAGTTTTATATTTGCTTTTTGCTCCACTTTAAAACATTATCTATCAAGTTATTGTTATTTCACCTAAGCACACCACTACTATTGTATTTTCTGTGTCAGCTAAAAACACACCTTTTCAAACAGGCTTTAAGGTGACCAGCATGACTTCATAACTCTTTTTATTTACCATTTTAAAGTGTTTTACTTTTCATGCTACTTCATTACTGTCTCTTGTGTGTCTTGTTTAAGCACTTGTTCAGAACAAGTGCAGTATTAAAAGTTTTTGCTTCACATTATGGAGAATAAATGTGTCTTTCAATTTCAAGCTTCTTCTCATTGTTAGCATTCATCATAAAATCATGGGACACAACTCGGGGGGAAAAAAGTAAATTCCAAGCTTGTCCCTTGAAGTGTTTTGCAGTTTGGCACTGCCATTTTGGACAATATTTAACTTTTTTAAGTTTATATGTCACAGAGTATTAACATAGACTATACAGTGTTGTTTTCCAGATGCTGACCTTTGGCCCTGCGGATCAATGGCAGAACAGCTTTGGTGACCCGGATAGTGCCCCACAGGTTGACCTCTGACACCTGCTTGTAGGTGTCCATGGTAGTAAACTCTACTTCTCCAAACGTTGACAAACCAGCGTTGTTCACAACAGCCCACAGACCTGATCATGACCAGTGACAGATTGTCAGAGAGGGTAAAAAAAGGGAAAAAACACCTTTTTTACTAATATGTAGGTTAGTGGATGCAGGTGCAGGGTTCTTTACCTCTCTCTGAGTCAGCTAGGTTGTCTTTGATATACTCCACAGCCTGGTTCACCTGCTGCTCGCTGCACACATCCAGCTGGACTACCTTCATGCGATCTGAATGAAATTCCTCCAGTTCCTTTGCACCCTCTCCACCTGTATCCTGCAAGGATGACACGTCTCCTCGGTTACACTTAGGCATGACATTAAAATGAAATGCACCCAATTTATTCTATATATCTAGCAACTACGGGACGTGGAGTTGAGTCAGCACCTGTTTGTCTTTAGAACAGTCTCAGTAGGAGCTGAATATTCTGACTTTTGTGTGTTTGTTGTGTTGCACGAGTGGTCTCTATATATTTTATCCGCACCTTCAGAAGACATCCAGCAAACACCGTGAATCCAAGCTTGTGCAGATGCTTGGCAAGTGCATGACCAAATCCAGTGTCACAACCTGTAACAAACACAGCTTTCCCCTTCACCTGCAGAGAGGGGCAGAATAAAGTAAAAGCTTTCCCCCACCAAGGCATACATAAAGCTACACATATATATATGAAAAGATAGAAAAAGCTTACAAGCATTAATATCTATAGTTTGCATTATTATAATATTAAAGTATTGCACGAGAAAATATTTAAAAAAATTAAAAGTGCAAATACAGCATGTCTATATATTGCCTCACTTGTATAACCATTGATATAAACGTCAGTTAGGTTATTAATGTATAAAACTAATACGCATAATGTCCTGTAGTGGCCGTTAACTCCTATGCTCTTACTGTATGAATAATGCTTTGATATTTGCACCCTCTTAAACTGCGTTACAGCATAATAAACCGTAGCCTGTATTTAGTACACAACTTCATTTTCGTGTTGGAATTTTAAGCCCATACTGTAACATTACCTCCACCAGTCCTCTGGGAATTCGAGGTGTCGCAATATACAGCACAAAAAGTAAATACAGCACAACTATGCACTCGGTGACACTGGTCTCCGGTAGTCCCACCATCTTCATGGCTGCGTTCAGCAGGGCAGGCAGCCCCAAACCCAACACCACCGTCAGAAACACTGAAAATGACACCAGGAGTGCCACTCGGAACAGGGAGAGCGGAGCCATCTTGGCGGAATGGTGTGTTTACTTTCCTCGGAGATCGGCATCACCCACCGCGGGGTCACGACACGCCCCCCGGTTCCGATGACCAAAAAAAGAATCACCCGGCTGCTCTCAAGATAACGGAAGAATGGCACGTTCGTTTTTGAGAAATAACCGTTAGAAACGCTTGTACGGGTTCGGTTGGTGTTTATGTAACTTTATGTCCGCTAAATCACCCCGTTATTCGTGTTTTTGTTCTTCTAAAACTAAAGCTTGGAACCGTTAACGTTAAGCTAAGTAGCTCTCTAGCTCTTAACGGTTATTCGAATTTATAATGTTCATCCGTAACGTTCTATTTTAACGTTCCATTCTAACGTTCTATTGTAACGTTCCATAAAAAGTGCAATACAAGAGGTGTGCTTAAAATACATTGAGTTCCCAGAAATGGAGAGACTTCATTAAAGTGCAACGGGGGTTGAAGCGAAATCGGAGGTAGCCAGGAGTGAAACTTCTTGCCTTCTTCTTCTTGGGTTTGAAGACGTTTCGCAACCTCTGTCAGCTGTGTGAGGCATGGTCCAATGGGAAAATAACTAAAATAAGGTAGTTAGCTCGGTACTTTCCACACACACACACACACACACACACAAACAATGTGTGGCATTATTGGATTACAGTTATTGATTGTGCTGGTAAAGTAGTAACCTATGTAATAATTGTGTGATAATGTTAATGTAGTGCTGGGTAACTTTTGAATTTCAATAGCCTTATGTTATAATAAATCATGTGATATTTGATTATATTTTGTATTATTGATCTGAATCT